ATCTGTAGTGTTGACAAAATACGGAACAAGTAATTTTCAAGTGGGTCAGTGGACTGAGCAAATCTTGCTTTCTTCCTCTATTCGAGATTTTATGAAGATGTTTTTTTCTAAATGTAACCCATAAGCGCACGACTTGATAGCCATATAATTGCCTTTTGAAATATTTATTCTATCATTGTAAAGCAAAGCTAAGCCAAAACGACAGATCCGACTATTTGATCCTATCGAAAAAGCTGTGGTTTTTAGTTGGATCCTATGAGCCTTGAACAATTTGAACATTTTCAGGGTACAGAATTCTGATAGTCAGATTCAGTTGTCGGAAAGTGGTGAAACTACAACGAATACTAATAAAATCCATTGTTGGAATTCAGTACCGAAAATTTTGCCAATTTTCGATAGGATTCTGTCGGAATTAATAGGATCCTATCAGATCTGACTGAAAAGGTCTGATCTAAGGATGTCATCTGCTTAAAATGACTTTTTCGCTGCAGTTTTTCTACGTTGTTTTCTGGTTTTCTTCAAAGATTTGGAAACTATTACTTTAGGAGAGATAGATCAAGCATATATGCGCTTATTTAATTAATCATGTAGTAAAACTAACTTTTCGTCTTTATCATTGATTCCCCATGTCGGTACTTGTCGTCTCATCTATAACCTGCTCCTTTTCCTCTACATGACATAATATCTAAATAGCTCCTTGTTTAGACCATCAAAATGGATAAGTTTTAATCCTCTCAAATCTTACATTGGGGAAAAAGTAATTAATCGAGGTCAGATATTTGATTTATTGAAAAAAATTAATATACAAGGAATGGTAAGTAGTGTAATTTTTTCGTTTTTGATATTACATAGAATAAGCAGTTTTCTTGATGAGATTGTTGAACAAACCAACTAGAGGATGACTCAAAAGTTTCGACTTTTCTCAGTAAACTCATATTATCTATGGGAAACATGTATAAAGTTATTTGATCGAAATATACAATTTTGTAAAGAAAACTTAGAGCTATCATTTGAAAAAAAAGATATTTCGAAATGCTTAACTATTATACAATGTTATGATCATTTTCTTAGTCTCAAATAAATATTTTCATCTTTCACTTTCTTTTACAAAAAAGTAAATCATTGTTTTTTTTTTTGAAATTTATATAATTTTGCTTGTATAGTTCATTTTTAGATCGTATTATTTTAGTTAAATGATATTCGTGATATTTGATGATTATTATTATGATTTTGTATACTATTCATATTAGCAAAGACTTCCATATTCAATTTTATTTTGTTCAGCTTACTGTTTGGGATTCGTCTTTCGATTTGTCAGCAGCTTTTGGATTTCTGTTTTGGACAGTGCTTACAGATTTATTAGGAAGTTTCAGTATTCATTGCAACGCCAAACAGCAGAAGTTAGATGAGAGAATGTTGAAGATGAGAGTGAGAATGAGGACTCATTCTTCTGGATTAGGTCTTCTTTCCAGTTTGCTTGAATTATGTTTTATATAATATAGAAAGATAAATCCAAAAGCTGCTGATATATCAGAAGACGAGTCCCAAACAGTAAGCTTAAAAAAATAAAATGGAATATGGAAGTCTTTGCTAATATGAATAGTTTACAAAATCATAATAATAATCATCAAATATCACGGATATTATTTAACTAAAATAATACGATCTAAAAATGAACTATCTAAGCAAAACTAAATCACTTTCAAAAAAAAAGTAAGATGAAAATATCTATTAGAGATTAAGAAAATGATCATAACATTGTATGATAGTCATGCATTTCGAAAAATCTTTTTTTCAAATGATAGCTCTAAGTTTTCTTCACAAAACTGTATATTTCGATCAAATAACTATATACATGTTTCCCATAGATAACATGAATTTACGGAGAAAAATCGAAACTTTTGAATCATCTTTTAGTTTTCCTTTTTGCATTATTGTTTTTGTTCTCGAAATATCATCAAAATAAGTCATTCTCAAATAAATAATTATTAGAGCATAACAATATCTAAGGCAAATAAGTACATATATTTTTTTTCACTTAATTTATAGTTCCCAATATAGGGTTAACAAAATCAAGAACACCTTGGAGAAAGTATATCGAGAAAAAAAAATAAAATAGAAAAATTGTGTTTCACTACAAAAGAAAAGAAAAAGATTTAAGAGCAACGTTTCTGTCGGCTTGTTGTACTTATTCCTCGATCTACACAGTTAATCGGAGTGACAATAGAAGTGACGATGATTGTCGTAGGTTGCACGAAATAGAAAACTGAATATGGAAAGAGAATAGATAACACATAACAATAGCAAGTTCAAGAAATTAAGTATTATCGAAGTATAAAAAGGAAAAATTAACTCACGATATACCGCCACACACATATAAATATAAAAAATGAATATAATTACTAAATACCATACTACGTAGCGTATCGCTATAGTCAACCAGAAAAAAATTAGGAAATAAAGACATAACGTTGATTGTAGCAACATCCACTGCTTAGTATGAAATATGAATAGATCAGTGGCACAAAAGTAAATATTTCACATATATAGATTCAGTAACATCAGTCGTATAGATAATATCAGATTGAGGAAGCGATAGGTATTTGCAAATAAAGTACCTTATTGTTTCCTTAGAGGATATAGATACATATAGGTGTAGTTGACTCTGTTACTTATGCGATGATATACAAATGCATAGAGTTTTAAGACCTAACTGTGCTGAAAAAAAAACTTCTTCAGTAAATCTTTAGTAATTCAAGTTTAGGACAGCGTACAGAGCTATATTTAAGTTTTCGTAATAGAGCAAACATTTCTCTATCCACTGATATCTGTTTAATTAAAAATTGTTTAGTCGACGTTGAATGAGAAGCATTACAATGGCAAAGGGGTCAATTTGCATTCAATTTTAATTCTGCCGATCGATTATTTTTGAAAAAAGCATGAGTTGATGACCCAAGATCAGAGGAACCGAATGATGGTTTTTATTTTGATTAAAGGCCGTATTTGATAAGAAATTCATCATTTTCTGAGCTCGACTATCATCTTACGTGGTAACGGCAGAATTAGCAAAAAAAAGGAATTGACCGGCAGAATTGAAATCAAAGACAAATTAAATAAAAATTGATTCTTCTGCTATTGTGACGTTTCTCACTCAACATCGGCTAACTATTCTTTTTAATCAAACAGATATCAATGAATAGAGAAATGTTTGCTTGCTTCTGGAAACTAAAATATAGCTTTGTACGATGCCCGAAATTTGAATTATTCAAGATTTACTGAAGAAAGTTTTTTTTCTGGCAGGATTTTATCTTAGTGCTTTATATCATGAGAGAAAGAAGGAAAAAACAAAAAAGAACTTTTCTATAGAAGAGTATGAGATAGTCAAGAGATAAACTTGTATAGAAACCATCAACAATAAAAATGGCGAATTTTCAATTTTAGATATTAGCAATTATTCTAATTTCATTTTTGGTGGTGTTATCGACAACAACTATTAATTCCATTAATCATGATATTAATTTAAATTATACAATTGTTTGTTCAGATGAAAATTATATACAGAAGTTCATCTTTATTCATATATACGTCACAATCACAATTGCTATAATGATGTGCGATTTCACTTCCTGCTTATACTATACGAAAATAATTGATCAACAATTTAAATCAAATAAAGCTCTTTCAAAAGTAAGATTTTAACTATATACATATTTGCCATAGATAACATGAATTTACTGAGAAAAGTCGAAACGTTTGAATCATCCTTTATTATCAATTTTGATGTGAAAGAAGAGTAAGCATTTTTCTAAACAAGTTTTGATAAAAAGCGATAGTAACTTGCCGTTTTGACGTTGAAAAGAACAGATGAAAGCGCATTGAATCATATATTTTAAATTTTTATGTGATTCTTTAATTTTTAAGAAAAGTCTTCAACATGCAATTCTGGCACTGTCACACGTGGCTCTTGTTATATTTTTCCTGGCAAAAATTCAAACAAAAGAATGGCTTAAATGGATGATTGTAGTGAGTATCTTTTTATCATCACTGAATGTGTTGTCAGAAGATGACTCTATGCATCTTAGAAGAAATTTCAAAGTAGTATGAAGTATAAACATGTTTAGTGTTCATACTAAAAGATAATCCAGTTAAATATACAAAAAATGTTCGCACGTTTTCCTCAAAGCTTGTTTTTAGGTAGAGTATCAAACTCCTAGCAAATTGTTTTTCAATATTGTTCATTTTAATGAACTGTAGGTTTTTTATTTGATAATTAGTTCATACTCTTTTAAATGAGGATAAGGAATTTTTCAGTTGGTCCTTAAAATTAGAGAAAGTATGAGCTTGTTGAGAATCTTGTCTCGAATTTTCAGATTTCTGAGGTTTTCTGCATCCGAAAAATGAAAAAAAAAAACAAAATGAAAAAAACTCTTTCTCTTATTCGATATGGTGAAGAGTTCTCTTTCAAATAAACATAATCCAAGGTTTGTAGCTTGAAGTATACTGAAAAAAGAAATTTGCACTCATAAAAGCTTTATTTTGCACGTTGGGTTCTGAACATATCCTAAATGATAAAGTTTGAAGGTGTGACATTTTTTATTGGTGTACTTTTATAGGCTGAACATCTTTCGAAAGTTTTATCGAAATTCCATTTACTAGATTGATGTTAAACTTTGAAGTGGAGGCCTTAATTGATATTGGTTCGGCTTTCTGGCCTAGAGTATAAAGAGTTCTGCAAAATTGCCTTTTTTTAGCAGCATAGAAAGTCAAATTATTTAGATACCTCGTTTGGAAAAGATGAGCTTATTGCATTTCATAAAGATGTTTGATCATAAATTTATTTATGACTCCTCATTAGTTGCAGTGAAAATGTTGAAAAAAATCTTATGTTCAATTCGCCTAATTTTAAATTTATTTGTAAATACATAAAGTTTTTCCTTCTCTTTATTTTCTAGGTTCTTCATTCATTATGTGCTGTTTTTCATGGAGTTACAGCTTATCGAATGTCAATAACAATCAAAGTTGAAGAAAATGTTCAAAAGAAACCTGATCCACCTGTTGATCTATCTGCTGAACCACTTGTTCATGTATGTGTTGATTCATCTGTTGAACCACGTGCTGATCCATCTGTTGAACCACGTGTTGATCCATCTGTTGAACCACGTGTTAATGTGTGTGCTGATATATCTGTTGATGTAATTGTTCATGCACCTGCTGATCCTTCTGTTGATTCAGAATCTGATCATGCTATAGACCTGGAATAGCTTGGACACCACATATACATATCATGATATTATTTTTGTTTGACTGTTGATCTTTTTTTCTCTAAAATGATACTCAATTATTCAGTTAATTTTTTTGTAGAGAACTGCTTCTGTTGTTATTTCGTTCTTGGTTATTATCTTTTGCCTGCAAACTTTCAGATATCAATTTGTCTCTCATTTCTTTTATCAAAAAGCATAGTAAAAATTTTCTTACTTTGGTTCACATCAACTTTATATATTTTTTTGAATTTCAGATAACATTTTTTCTCGCGTCTTTGGTTCGCTCATTTCATTCGAAACTGCTATCAAGTGATTACTAATGAGGGAATGTTGCTAACTGATCTCCACAGTTTTCAGTGATATATTATCCATATGGTGGGAGCAGTATCCTAGAAAAACTTCTAAAAGAATTTGGGCTGATAGGACTTCCTTCGAAGTTTATGGCCATTTCACTAATTTTTCGAGATAGTATAACGTATTTACAAAAAATCGAACGACAGAATTTCTACCTGAAATTTTGCTGATATAACCCTTGTGCTCACTAGAATACCCTAAGTCTCAGTAAAAAAAAAGTTTTTCTTCTCATGGCATCGAATTATTAAGAAAATCAATCTTTCCGGACTTTATATATTATGAGACAATTCTTTTAAAAACAAATATTTCAAGAAAGAAACATATTTGTTCACTGAAACTTTTAGAGTATTCTAGTGACCACAAGGACTATGTATGGATAAAATTTCAGGTTGAAATTGTGTTGCTCGATTTTTTGTAAATACGTTATGCTAGCTCGAAAAATCAGTAAATGGTCGTAACTTTCGAAGGAAGGCTTATCAGACCACAGCTTCTTAGAAATTTTTCTAGAATACTGTCCCCCAACATATGGATACAATAACACTAAAACCGGTACGGGATCAGTTGGGAACCTTTCCTCATAATTTATTCGAGTTATCTAGATGATTTTACATCGTTGGAAGCCATGATACCAAACTCGAAGATGAAATAAATATTGCACTGTTGTTTGTTCGATAGTATAAACTTGAAGCGTCATATTTATAGATGATAGACTTAAAGATAGCTCTAACATTTTTCAAACTTTAATGAATGAGTAAAACCTTTTTAGCATGCAAAAAAACCACAAATTTTCAGAAAAAAGTTTGATTTGAATTTTCACGACACAGGTCAAAGTCATCTATCTTACAAAAAGTAGAAAATAAAGCCGATTTTCTAAAAAGAAAACTTGACCAAACAATGGCTGTTGCATACAGTCATTTTTCAAATACGTTTATCAGTCTTTCGACAGTTTTGACTATCAGCTCATTTATCTGGCAGTTAAAAAGCAAGTTCATCACTTACTATTACTTTTTATATTCATCAACGACAACGTATGCTAATATTTTGCGCTTAAGTGAAAGCAGACTATTTTGACTTTCTCTCTTATTCTACTCGTTCAAATTACACTAGAAGAGAGAAATTACCGTTACGTTATCAAGTAACGGTAGCTTCCCTCCCTAAATTATACACCATATCCTATATATTGGTCTTGTATATAATTTAAGTCGTACATAATAAAAAGCTCATCTCTTACTTAATATAAATTTGTGTTTCTGTAATCAAACGTTTTTGTTTAGATATGTTTGCCTTTCATCACTTGTTTAAAGATACTTTCTGACTCATTTTTTATTCAATAACATTTTTTCGTTTTGAATGTTTGTCAATACAAGATATCGTATTGTATAAGACGTTTTCCCTTTCGACGTTTTATACGTTCACTATCAGAAATAGTTTTTTCCTTTTCTTCTTTTTTATATATAAATTATTCTTGGTTGCAAACAGCATCAGTAGGAAATCAACTAAAAACAAACTAGACACGAAAATCTCCTTTCTGAAGTAAAAAATGACTTTCAGTTTTTCAATATCCAAAAAAATGTCTTGACTTGAACACCTGAAACTGTTTTCATAAAGAGCCATACGCATCCCCCAATCATTCCAAGACGTCAGATATTTCTCGAAGCACACGATGAGGGATTTTAATACATATTTTTTCTTATAATGCTTGTTATCGGCAAACAATCAGAAAAACAATTTTACTGTTTAATAAGTTCTTAGATGAAACTTCCATTCATATGAATAAATTCATAAGTATTTGTTTTTTTTTTCATTGATATGTATATATAGAACGCGATTATTTTGATTTATATGCAATACTATGCTGTGGAATAATTGTATCATTAGTACAGTTTTTGTCAGTTGGTATCTATTAACAGACATGTATTTCCCAGATCTACGTGGATTGAGTTTGAGAAGAAATTATTTGTTTATATCTGAAGTGCCATCTGCTGCATCAATTAATACATCATACTGTATTCTACTTGATTTTTTAAGAGAAGTCAATTGTCTACAAGTTTCTTTCAATTGAATCATCATGATACCGACTCCAACAAATGGAAGTAACAAGCAAAGTTTATCAATGGTTTCGTTACCAAAAAAACCCTCAGGATATTATTTTATCCACGATTTTGTAAGTTATTATTATTTTTCTTTCTCTTTATTTTTTTAAACAAATTAACATATTCCATCAATCGATAAGGGACTATTATCGATTATGACATTTCGAGTTCTTTCACAAATTTAAAAATTCATAGAAATGTGTTTAAATAGTCAACTAATTGTCACAATACTTCAGTTGCCATGTTTATCCCGTTTCAGATTATTATATAAAAGAAGTTAGCCCAGTAATTTATTTAAAAGAATATTATTCCAATTTTTTCTTTCAATATGTTGTCTACTTATAAGATATAAATTATATTGCACACATATGAATTCTACTAGGAAAAAAAAATTCAATGCACTTGTTTTTTAAAATCTTTTATACAGAGGAGACGAATTTAGCATTATTTTTGAAATACGAAAGTAACATCTCAGTGATAACTTGAAAGTCAACTGTTTAGTAGTGCAGAGTTATGTTCAATCTTCAGCACACATATATAGAGACCATTTTTGAACCTGTTGAGCATTTGAGCCACTAGATAAGCCAATATTTGTTTTTTTAATTAAGATTACTTAGATAAATATATACAATTGTTTTTGAAATGTAGACTCTTGAATGTTATATTGACTGATTTTAATTAAGTGACCTGATAATATGATAACACGAACATTGCCTTTCAGTAATTTTATTTTTCAATTGCAGAACATATCAGACTGGTTTTCCTTCATAATTGTGACTTCGTCGTTTATCTTCATGACGTTTTGGAGCTTGTATAAAGCTATTCATGCTTTGGTGAGTAATATTCGTATATCTGTCGTTTATTCATTTGACAATTGTGCACATTTATATTCTGACAATAGTCATGAGTAGTTTTTTGAAAATGGCTCCTAGTTAAACTAGATATGTCACATTAACCATCGAACGGATAAGATTATGTATGTGAAACTCAAATAGGTGTATGATATTAAGTTCCTTGTTTCTTTATTTAAAAATGATGTAATATAAACCTAAGTCTTGTTACAAAAGAAAACAAAATAACTAACAAGAGAGGTAAACAACAACTCTCTTCTAGTAAAAAAAAACAGCCACTTACTATAGAAGAGAAAGAGAGAGAGAAGAAGAAAAGAATAAGAAGAAGGAAAATCGCCCATATATACAACGTATAGATGGCGGATCCTAACATATGATACAGCTGTGTCACCGATGCAGGACAAGGGGATGCAGGAGGGGAATTAGGAGAGGAGAAAGATGAGAATGACGGTAATCCTGGAGATGGCCTCATCTTTTGAAACGATGAATTTTAAGATGTGCTATTTCTGCAGGACATGCCACCAATTCCATCACGTTACCTTAATCTCCAATATCTCTCATCTCCAATTGATTTTTTCATTTCCATGACTGTCTAACTATGTCAGACCACTCAGACACAAGCACAATATCAAACATTTCCTTTCATGTTCAAGAAAATGTTGTCTAAATATTCTTCAAAAGAATGTTTACGATTAAATTTCACACATGTAAGGAGATCAAAAAATTTCAATGCAAAACACCTTAAATGCCACTAAGTACCAGCATTAAATTTTTATCAACTGAAATAATAGTTTCAGTATATATGTAGCTAACGTGCCGTAAAATACGTTGATTTGTTTAAAATCTAAAGTTAATACGTGAAACGGTAATTCTTTGCAAGAACAGATAGAATTAGACTTAATAGATTTCGAATTATAGACATTTGTTTGATTAGATTCTTTAAAAGAAATGTTTATTCTTCATTCATTGAATTTTTCTTCATTGTGGTCTACTATTTTTCATATGAATTATTTGCTTAATTTGTGCTCTTTTTTTATCAAATTTTTTCTCATAAATATTGACACTCACATGATTATACTATACTAGGCAATGAAGTCTACTATAATAACTGTCATTTGCCAACAAAGATGTTCTTTCTACGCCTGTTGATCAATTATACATCAATAAAAAATATACACACACCATTTGTCTTTACGAACACAAAAATGAAAGTATTTGTACAACGTTTAATCATATATTATATTTGAATAAAATTGAAATGTTATCATTTTCCTAAACAGATATTGATTAACAGGATAAATTTCAGCGACTTTTTTTAAATATTCAATAGATCTTTTCAATGAATTCGTCTGACACAAATGGTTATCTTTTTCTGACAATCTTCTTGGTGATGATCACATGTGATACATATGTGATTTTTGCAATAATTCCCTGTGGCATCCATCTTCGACTTATTATTCTGGCCAAATCAATGATATTTCTCAACTCTGTTGTGTCACATTGTCGAGTAAGCCATAGATTTCTTCCATATTTCAGAATGAAAGACCGACGCTTTATAAAAGCAAATTGATATCAATGAACGAATGAAATTTTACATTTCGAGAAAGAACATTTACGGAAGTCTGTTCAAAAAAAGTTGAGACACTTTCTATCATCAAAAAATAGTTTCTTGTTAGAAGCTAACGCATATTTACTACGTAGG